TATATAAAAAAATAATAGGAAAGGTGGGGTTTTTTGCCGTCTACCACCTGAAGTACACCAGACAGCGCATGGAGGTCTGACGAAACAGGCTGGCACAGGTAGCAGCTCTTCCCAGCCTCTTATCAGACAGCTGTGAGAGTGAGCGGTGGAGTGACATGGTATTTTCTGGCACATAAGCCAAAGCAAATAACGCACTCCAACCTACAAGATTAACACCAGCTAACGGCAGGCTAGTAAAAGCCATTGTGTGAAAGCTGTATATTAAACCCCAATGCCCCCCCCCAAACACACACACACCGACTGACACACTGTGTTTGTTTAGAGTTCAGTTCCATTGCCATCGCCACACATCTAAACCCACAATCCATGTCATTAACTGGCCAGCTGACAGTTTTACACTTTTACAGCTGCACTCCTACTGTGCAGATAGCACAGTGCTACAGATCGGTTATGAGCAACACCTCGCACACGGATGCACACGCTGAGACAGAAAACTGTAATCCCATTTTGTTTAACATGTGCCGACTGTGTGACTGGTTTAAAAGGGCGCAGCGTACATGTGAAAGCAGGAAGGATGCAGCAAGAAAGCCAAGAGAGCAATTACATTCCTACTGTGGAAAAGCAACTAGTGTGTTGTTAACAAGCATCCATCCCATTCGTGTGCCTGTCTAGGCATCAAAGAATCTTCCTTGATGCATAATGGAGCCTATATTTATTTAACCGCTCGACTATTTTGAAGCGCTGCCTCCATGCTGATCAGAGCATTTTTGAAGAACACAGTCAGGCGGGGACGACATGAAAGTCAAGCCAAACCATGAGCTGACTTTTGTCAGCCTGCGTTCCAGTGCGCCTGGTGCCACATTTATTCCGCATTATGTGCAAGAAGAGTGGCTTGAAAGAGCAGAAAAATGCCTGTGTATTTTCTGCCATTGTCATTCAGAGTATTTTAATCAATGTGCAAACAGAGCGTGCCTGGACAAGGTAAACGTTCCCATATTGAAGTGGCTACAGTGGCAACAATAAGCCTGTTGTGTGAAGACATTAAACAGCACATTCAGTCCGCTTCTTCCATTGTAACAGCCACAGGTAGGCAAACTACCAGGGCCACCAGGGGTGCAGGGGCAGGCTGTATAGAGACAACATTGATATGCAATCTGATGAATCTAAAGTAATTACTGCTCCCACAGACACAAGCACGGCTGCAGGGCAGAGGGGAGGGGAGCGAGAATTCAAATTTTGAGAATTCTTAACCTTTCTGGGTGGGGTGTGGGGACGGAGGCGGGGGGGGTATTCAAGACAGTTACGGTAGGTAGGACAAGTCAGTCCATCTCTCTCTAACATCTGCATCCCACAGGTGACTCCATAGTGTCCTGTCAGTATTAGTGAATGGAAGAAAGCAGCAGACTGAAGAGGACAACACATTAAGTAAAATCACACAAAGGTGCTGTTGATGATAATTTAAATAAATAAATATTTGTTTGCAACATGCAACAGATAAATTGGTTCACAATCAGATAAGCAGACCAGGTTCTTTGTGCCCTCTCTGTTCTTCTTCAGGTGACCTCACCCAGGCCACTTAATCTCCAGTCACATGACTTCATCGCTGCTCAGCAGCACTCTGTAATCTCTCCATCTAAAGGAGAAGTCAAATATGCACAAATCCTCTTAGAGCTCTTCTGGGGGATTTTGTAACTCTGGAAAACTCCCCCTGTCCTCTCTGTGGCCATGTAGCGTAGCGTCCGGGCCATGTGGGGCTCTGAACTCACCGGCTTGGAGCCAAACAGTCTGAGACAGAACAACAAAAACAACAGGAGAGGAGAGCTCGGGCAGCCTCTCATCCAAGTAGGTAAGTCTGATACCCGACCTCAAGGGCAAAGGCCGAGAAAAGGTACAGTGTGTGTTTGTGTAAAGACAGAAGGACGGTGGGGGAGGTGGCTTAAAAGTGATGCTCTGTTGTTTGGCCTAACTCACAATTAGCATGCTGATTAAAGCCCCGGAACAAAGGACTTTGGAATGCGACTTACCATCCATCAAAACAACTAATTAACTCGTCTCTAACCAGACTCCGAGACCAGAGACACAGAAATAGAGAAGCCTAAAAGAAAGACTAAAAAAAAAAAAAAAAGCCTTTCACTAAGATGTTTCTCAAAACTATATAGCTTAAAACAATTATTCAAACTTTGCAGGAACAGGAAATAACAGCAGTTGTGACTGGAAGAAAGCAAAGACCAGAACTCTAAATCTCCATCTCAATCTCTTTTCAGGCGAGAAGGTCATGAGAGAGATGCCGGGATAAACATTGTGCCACCCTTCTTCACAACTTTCCCTCCAAACAGAGACACAAACCAGGCTTTACAGCTCAAGTATAGCTCAGTAAGCTACGCACAGAGAAGAACAATAAAACAAAAAGAGTGCGAATTAGAACTCAGTGAGGAAAACAAGAGGTCGGCCATGCCAAGGTTAGTTGTTTCTCTTTAGTTTATTTATATTTCTCCCTCTAAAATGTTGTCTCTTTTCCAATATTTCAACTTTTACTGGAAGTTAAATGAAAAAAAACAACAACTTGTGCTTCTGCATGAAACTCCGAAAGTTACAAAATAAATAAATAAATAAGAGTAGAAAATATAGAAACTGTGTCACGGGCCAGTTCTGGATTCTTATCCACCTCAATGTGAGTAAATGACAAGAATTTGAAGGGAAGGATGCAAAAGTAAACAAAAACGATCAATAGGATGAAGGGTGGATTGATTTATTTAGTTATTGTCAAACTGGTGCCTGCTCTTGAAAAACAAGGCAAACAAATGTGGGTCCCCCCCCCCCACCCCTCTCCTACCCCATGTTACAGCCCCTCACTGCTTACCTTCAGGTTCCAGAGTGGCCTCCCCCTTGGTGGCAGTAAGGGGCGGCCGGGCCACGCTGACAGTCAAAAGGGACAGCAGGACAGCGGCCAGGAGCCAGGCCCACGAGGCCATCCCGCTATTGGGGGACAGCGCTCCCCATACCCCCCTTCTCCACCTCCCCCTGGACACTGATCCCATCTGAGGGGGTCCGCCCAACCATCAACTGCTGCAGGGTTGGCCTGTCACTCACCGGAATTCACCCAATCACCTGGGCTGGGAGGTAAGGGGAAGAAGTTGGGAGACAGGTTGAAGAGGCAGAAGTGTGAAAGGCAGCAAGGGGAGAGAACAAGAAGACAGATTTAGTCAAAATGGTTCATCTTAATTCATAGATGCTCTTTGAGCCACGTCCCTCTTACTTCTTTTTAAAAAGTGAGAGACAGCTGAAACAACAGAGTCACCAAGTGCTTCAAAATGCTGTCAAACAAGCCACACCACAGACATACCTGAAAGGTGAGGCAGCCCACACAGAGCCACCCCGCATCTACCTTTAGTTTTGATCTGTACGCACTGACATATATTTCAGAACACGAACTCAAACATCCCACTTCTAAATTTTAGTGTCAAAGGAGCCGTTTCACTCACGTCCCCCAGACTTCTAGCATTTATTTAATCTCACATGAATCTAATGAAAAAAAGAGCATCACCTGTTCCACGCTGCTCATTTTCCCCGCTAAATTACTAATATTACGTTTTCTTTTGTAACAGATCAGTCATTATATGTTTTCAAAAGTCGCTGGTGCAGAAAAGGCAAAGCAGCAGCAGCCAGTGTGGCACCAGTTTCTCCGCTGGACGCCGCTTATGCGCAACAGATGCACCAAACCTGTTGCCCGCGCTGTTGTGTTTGTGTTAATCGCATTCGTAAGAGCTTTTATTGCATGCCCAGGACTTGATTATGAGAGCCGTACGGTTTTAATTTAAAAAAGCGATATTGCAACATGGGGACAAACACACACATCGTTCCGTTTAGCCAGACATCTGCGGTTCAACCGCGGCGAAGTGTCTCTGGAGGTTTGGTTAAGTCACGCTTCCCTGAGCTCCTTCTCCTCCAGCTGGAAGTATCGATTGGTTTCACCCGCAAAGACAAATGTAATTTGACTTTTAGAGGGCGAAAAAGAAGACGTGCACATGCCGAGTTATCTTTCATTCAACCGCTCGGGGGCGGGGGACTGCGGGACACGGACTGTGACAGCGCACCTGATGTCGGCGTGCATGCTTGAGTTCATCCCGACGTCTTAACTTTATTAGAGAAATGCGCCGGTGTGAATTTTGCAATTAGAGTACCCAGTTCCGCATAGTGACAGCCCAGACTCATGAATTATTGATGAAAAGTAAACGAATCAGTGCACCAATCAAGTACTACTGGCATCACCGCTGTCTAAAAACTTCTGCAGGACGAAAAGAGCCCAGATAACACGCCCCCACCAAAAAAGCCTCCATGTGGGGGTGTTTTTGTGCTACGCTGCTTAAAGAGAGCAATACAAATACTACATTTTTCTACAGCCGTCAAATAAATAACCTACAACAGAAACGATTTGGAAAAAGAAAATTAATGCGCAAAACTCAGAAGTAAACGGTATATAGTGATACGTGATATAATCCACTCTAAAACGGGACCCACTGAGAGCTCGGCCTCATACATAACCAAGCCTTCATTTAAAAACTCGAACTTTCAATGAAATTTCTTGGCACTGATTGAATCCCCGATTGAAATTCAAATCAGTTGGCTTTTTCCACAATGAGGGGGGCTCATTTGGAGCTCCTCGGTGATTTAGGGCTCCGGCACCAAGCAGTGAAAAAAACAACAGCGGTCACGGGGTAATTGGCACCATAAATGCAATGTAGAAAATTTACCAAAGTAATAAATAACCCGGACACTTGTTAATGGGCCCTAAAGTGATGATGCAAGGTGTTGTGTGGCTCCTCTCGCGTCTTAAATAAACAAAGATGAAGTTCACAGCAATAAGTTTTTACGTGCAAAAAAAGGAAAAAAAACCAAATTGGGTTTTTTTTAATGCATGCCAGGAAAATATGAAACTAAAATTTAAAAACTTTAAGATTTAAGAACTTTACGCACTTCGTCGTCTTCTGGAAACTCTTTTGGTTAGAAAACTACAAACAACCAATTTTCAGGGTTTTTTTTCGTGCAGCTGTAAAAAAAATAAAAATAACTGCACAAACCGTGGAAGCGCATTTCCACTATCGCATATGGCAGCAGGGAACCCTGACAGATGAGGCTCTGAAGACGCATTAGATTTTTTTTTTTTATCCCATGCAGAGAACACTTACCAGGGAGGACTAAAATCGTGGAGATCTCTGTTTTGGCATGCACAGATAAGGGAGGAGAGAGCATGAGCTGAATCCAGAGGGAGGAATGTCTCCAATAATACAATGCAGCGGCAAAAAAGGGAAAAAAATCGAGGCGCTGGCTTTTTTTTCTTTCTTCAGCTTACTATTCCACAATCAGCCGGCATCAGCTCGGATCTGAAGATATATTCCAAACCCGACTGACAGCGTAGACCAATGCCATGCACAGAAATCCGGGTTTACACGCGTTATCCTTCCAAAACACTTCGTAAAACCATATCGCTGTCCCCCCCCCTCGAAACTTTCCACCTCTCGTCACCAAGTTTCTTCCAAAGCGCAAAACACTGCCCAGTGTTCCCCGAACAGCGCACTTGTCAACTCAACAGAAAGTTTGCAGCTACCACGTACGTGGGACGAGTTCTAAAGGGCAGAAGAGAATAGTTGTCCACTGCAAGGAGAAAAAAACACCTCGTAAAATCCGTGAATGTGCGTCCTCTCGGTGAAACGAGCGTCTCTCGCGTCTACTTCTTCCGCCGACAGTCTTCACTCTGTTACTCAGACGCTTTGTCAGGTTTACTAGATTTTTTCTCCTCCTTACGTCTCCACACACACCGCCCTCCTCCTTCCCTCCAGTGCGTGTCATCACCCCCCCTCCTCCCTCCTCCCTCCTCCTGTCCCGAGCACCCCGAGTGTAATTCGAGCCTGTGCCTGCACTGCTTTCGGGCCCTGCCTTCCTCCGCCCATCAAACTGCAGAGCTGCCTGACTGCCTGCCCCGCGCTCGACTCGTTCACACAGAGTGGGAATGCGAGAGCCACTGCTCCTCTGCCGAGCTGTCAGACCGCAACGCCGCTCAGTGGCCAAGACGTGACACAACGTAGACTGTAGTGAAGCATCCCTGCAGACTCAGTATTAGAATATTCAGATCAGTTTCTCAAAGTAGAAATAGTGTACAGTGATTTAGAGCAAGAAAACTGAAGTCAGAATGAAAGATCGGCAGAGGTTCACCAAACTACAAAAACCATGTCTACAAATTGTGGAACAATTTTAGAACAATGTTCCGCAATATAAAATTGCAAAGACTTTGAATATCTCATCGTCTGCAGGGCATAATAGGATTCGGAGCATGCGCAAAAGACAATATTTGATGCCTGTGATTTCTGGTACCTCAGACAGCACGGCATTCAAAACAGGCATAGAAATCACTGTATGACCTGAGGAACACTGCCAGAAATTGTCTGTGACGACAGCTCACCATGCAGTGCAAAGCCCTATGATGCAAATAGTGAAAGATATGTGAAAATGATCCAGAATCAGCACCATTTAAAATCCTTCAAAATGTCCAGCAACTCATTTCTTTGGTTCCCAGATGTTTACAGACAGTAGAGGGGATGCTACACAGTGGTGTTGCTGCCACCCAACTTTTTTAGAGTTGGGATAAGAAAACATCACTAATATAGCAGTCCAAGTAATACTGATATATCACTGAAAACATTCTCTCTGCGTCTGAACCTTTACTGTTTCATACTATTGTGCACATTTTTAAATAAGAGATCTTTTTCATAGCTGGTGATAACAGAACAATAAATGAAAGCAATAAGAAGTGAATCACAGTTTAAGAGAGGGGGAGGTTTATGATATTCTGCAAGGCTGCGGAGTTTAGAAAAAAACTTCTGTTTATAACTTTCCTATAAATGAACAGCTCTGTCTGCAGCTACCCGGAGAGAAACTGAAGGTTGGCCCAACAAAAGTTGTCCCCCACTGATTCAAGCTGTCTCCTGCATTGGTTCAGGCGTTCAAGTGCTATGAAAGAGACACAGGCGAGGGTGGAAGACTCTAATCTCTGCAGACTTTTTATTTTTGTCTCGCTTTCACTGCAGGAGCCCCTTTTTTTAAACAAGGGAGGGAAAACGCTTTCATTCAATTTGCACTAATAAGGCTTTTTTTTCTTTCAGCAAAAGGTTTGTCCTGTGAATGCAGAGTTTCTCGTCTGTTTCTCTCTCCTCTCCCACCTCTGCCTGAAAACCAGTAAAACCTTCAGATAACAGTGGAGCTGACAGGTTGGCTAGAAATACAGAGGGAGCAAGAGGTGAGGAAGGAAAGTTTGACTCATTTTTCAAGTGGCACAAAATACCCCCCACCGTTTCTCCCTCTCTGTGACTCTTTCCTCCCACTACAGAAGTCTATTTACAATCACCCACTTTATTTTCCACTGCTCGGGCATCCCACATTTGAAAGAAACCTCATCAAGCAGATTCTCATGGGGCTTTGACGGAGGACGGGATGGACTCAGTGCCCTGGTGTTGTGGTATCCATCAACCTGTCATTGTCCCTCTTCATTTCCAATCTTTTCCTTTTTTTGTTTTGTTTTTTCTCCCTCCTGTGCCAGCAACCACAGTGTTTGGATGCAGGGAAGGAAATAACAAGCTAGTAGCTTGTAATCAGCATGTTAGATGAATATATTGATTTCTCGTCATTGTTGATAGAACTCGTAAGGAGGTGAGCTTATTGGAATGGCTGCCCAGTGATATGTTAATGCCAGAACGTCTCTTATTGCTGTGAGAACTGAAGCTGCAACTGATGGTTTTGCTCTGAGCCAATCACAGGTCATTATGTTTACCTCATCCTGATATGCAAATCTGAGATGATGTGAGGGATGAATAACAGCGATTCCTGGATCACACCCAGATGTCCCATCTTTTCATGAAAGTATTAGTATGAAAGTCTGATGAGATGAACTGTGTACGTCTGCATGCTGGTGCAGATGTTAGCATTGTCACCTTACAGCAAAAATATTCTGGGTTCAAACCGGGTGCTTGGCTGGGATCTCCCTCCACAGAATTTGCATACTCTTCCTGTTAGGTTAACTGCTGATTGTAACTTAGCTGTAGGTGTGGACAGGAGAGTGAAGTGCTGTTTTTGTCTCTGTGTTAACCATGTGATGTATGGGTGAGCTGAGCGTGATGAACGTCGCTCTCCCTCAGGTCAGCTGGGACAGGGAACAGCCTGATCCTAGTTGGATAAGCAGCTCAGAAAATGGACAATGCATGTGAAAAATATGAACCTGGCAGCTTTTGAGAATAAATCACAGTATTAGTCAATTAAAAAACAACAAAATAAATGCATAAAATATGTTTCCATAAGGGCTTTAAGAGCCCAGTTATTCAAATAACATGTAGAAGTATAACAACCTTTATCTACTCTTTAGCATAAAACATCACACATTCTGCTCTAAAATATCTGAATTTGTTTTTCTCGCACATTTATTGATTCGTGGTTTTCCAATAGATGAGGCAGTAGACTCAAATCATTGCTCAAGAAGACCTCCCCTGACCTCACCTTGGCAGCAGCGGTAATATGGACCACTGTGTGTTATTGGCTGACCACTTACTCCAGATGAAAATCTCTACAACTCCTTGATGGGCTGCTAGAAAAAACATTCATGCTCCCCAGAGGATGAATTTGAGATCCACTGCGTTTGAACGCACATCTAATTTGTTCTGCACTTTAGTTTATGAAGCAACGCTGTAAAGGAGAATGACAATTCCTCCACAAAGATGTGAGACGCACTAAAAATAATCACTTCAAGTTATTGCTGGTTCTAGAAACTACTGACATATGGGGTGTGCTTAGCTTTTCACACAGAGCCCTGTGAAAACTTCCTTTTTTGCAAGGCTTTAAGCAGCCTCACAGAGAGGCTAGCATCGCTGTGGGCCGTCTTGCTTTTTTTATACAGTTGCGTCTCGGGAATGTGTTTCTATCGTTTTCCTTTTTAACAATTCATGAAATATCATGTCTCATAAAAGTCTATTTTAGGCAGCCACAGTCTGCACAACAAATCCTCACAGTGCTGTATTAGTGATCGCAGCAATGATTGCCGTGCACGCCTCTGCTGGAGTCAATCATCCATTATACAGTGTTTTTTTGTGTTGTTTTTTTACTGCAGTGGCACATAGACAATCCACTCCCTCACACTGAACAGAGCCAGAGCACCAAACTCCTCCCTGTGTCCCTCTGAATGCTATAGAAGCGTAACAGAAATATTTGCCATTGAGAACACAAAACAGACTTGTTCTCCTTTTGAACACCGTGCTTTCTTCCTCCTTGAGGGTCCTGCAGTTAATCATGAATGGCAGCGATATGTTATTGCAACTTCACTGTTCCAAATCTTAGCCAGAAAGACCCCTCATTTTTCTCCCAGTGTATCACTGACACTGCATAATTAAAACATCAAACATCAGCCGGGTGAGTGAGTCATATCCTGAGCAAAATATGAAACAAATGCGCAGAGCTATAAGTGTTGGGGGGGATTGGAGAGAGAGAGAAGGAAGAAGTAAAAGCACGCCTCAGGGTCTAATTTGAACCATGTAGCTCCTCTGCAGCCGTGTGCCGATGTAAGAGGACCCTGACAGAAGGTGTGAAGGGAAAGTTTAGGGGGCATTCGAAACAGACAAGCAGAAATCAGTTTTAGATGTGCGCCTGAAAATGTCATCATATCATATATGCCTTTTCTCCACCCAGGAGGTCAGATCTTAGCGCTGGACTCTCATACTGCCTGACTTGAGCCATCTCACGCTGTCACAGACTCTGCTTTTACCTCAGGAGGCATCACTGATACGCTATAATAACCTCATCTGGACACCCAGGCCTCCGCCGCCCTCTCCGCCTCCTCAGCAGGTAACAGAATGCAGCGATCGAGGGGAGTGGATGGAGGGTCAGTCATCCAGATTCCTCACATGTTTCCACCTTAGTGCTCCAGAGTGTTTGGAATAGCTGGGATGCCTGCAGATTGAGCTGGCTGCAGAGCTAAGCTATAAAGGGGGACACGAGCAGACGGAGAAAGCTGGCGTTTCCAGCTCGAGCAGGGCGTTTGATAGTTTCGAATCCCTCGAGCAACGACGGGAAACGGCAAACAGGAGCACGCTGAGCAGAAACATGTGCCCGCTTGTGCTAATGCAGCTTTACCTCTGATCAAAACGTCTGCTTCCCCTCCCACCTGACTGGCACCATTATACCTAATAAAAATAACACATGACTTTTTCCAGGGAGAAACACAGAGAAAAGCTGAGTGGAACTGACAACTTTATATCTCGTACATAAAATGAAGAATGAACAGATCTTTCTCCTGTCTTTGTAAGTGATGAGGCTTTCTCTCCCACTCTTTTTGTTGTTGTTGATGTTGTTTTTACCTCCCTGGCTTTGTTGCTCTTTTTATTTCAACGTCCTTTGCTCACAAAACACATTACACTCACACACATAACTACAAACACAGAGAGCAGGTCACTCCAGCCATCCTGCATGACTCACACTTTGCAAGTCAGGACTTCGGTCTGTGCTGACAGCGTTGAAATCAGGTTTGTTTCTCACCCCAAGCTGACAATCCTGAGCCAACTGCTGCTGCTCCTCACCTACGCATGCTGCAGCCAAAGATGGATTAAATTACGGAGTCACTAAGTAACTGTGTTGAGCATTGAAAATTACTTTTTTTTTTCCTTTACATCAAGTCAAAAATTATCACATTCTTGTGTGATGTTTGGAATTTAAGTTCTTATGTTGAGGTGACATTACAGTGAGCATGAAACATTAAAATTCATCTATGTAATCTTTGCTGGACAATAAATATGCTAGCCTC